TATATATATTTTATTTAAATAGTTTAAAAAACTTTTTCCGAATGAAGGATTAAATGCATTAATTAAAATCTATTAATTAACTTCAGCATTAATTAAAATTTATTAATTAATTTTATTGAATTAGACAAATTTTAGGAAAATACGAATTTGTGCTTTGGGTATTGATGGTGCAGGAAAATCAACTGCTATATGTGCATTAGCTTCAGGTAATTTATCTTTCTTTTTCTTTTCTATATTTATGAATTTTAGATATAAATGACAATTAATTATTATGATATATTAAAGTTCAATAACACTAAAAGATATTGAATATCGAAATTGATTTTATTTCATTACTTATATATCAAATATGATAATGATAATACTAAGTGATGCAAAATTATCGCATACAGGTGAAATGAATGATGTTTCACCTACAAATGGTTTCTCTCTACAAAAATTTAAATTTGGAAAAGCTGAAATTACTGTATATGATTTGGGTGGTGGTGAACGGATACGCTCAATATGGAAAAATTATTACCCTGAGGTATAGTTGACGCTATATTTATTATCTAAGGTACTGTTACGTGTTATTATCCTGTAGTATAGTTGATTGACATTATATTTATTATCTGATGTACAGTTGCCTGTGGTATAGTTAACGTTATATTTATTATCTGAGGTATAGTTGTCATATTATCCTGTGGTATAGTTGACGTTATTTTTATTATCTGAGGTGTAGTTGTCATATTATTACCCTGAAGTATAGTTGACATAATACTTATTATCTGTGGTATAGCTGATGTATTATTATCCTGAGATATAGTTGACATACTATTATCCTGAGATATAGTTATCTTTATATTTTAATTTTTCTTCAAAAAGATTAATTAAAACATAATGTCGAACTTTTCTTGTCAGCCATTTTTTGGTTCAAAAAAGAATTAGGAATTGTTAGATTGTTTGAAACAATTGTAAGAGTTGCATATAAGAAATTAAATTAAATTAAATTAAATTGTAATTTCATTTATGTTTATTGATATAAGGTTTAAATTTAGGTATTTGGTGTAATTTATGTTATTGATGGAAGTGAACGAGAACGTATCGACGAGAGTGGCCAATTGTTGAAGACTGTAATTAGTGATAAGGATTTGAATAATAAGCCAATTTTGGTGATTTTAAATAAGAAAGATCGAGAAAGATGTATCGATGAAATTCAGCTTACCGACCGATTCGATCTTCATAATTTAGCAAATCGATATCAGACACATATTCGAGTGGTAGATTGATTTTATTTACAATACTACAAATTGTGATTCATTTTAATTTTAAAATATTTTATGATAAAAATATTAGTTACTGTAAAGTATTTTAATAGATCTAACAAAAAGGCAATGCTAATTTGTTGTCGAAGAGGAAGTTAATAAGCAAAAATTAAGATAATCATTACTAAGATATTAATTAATGTTATTATTTATTATTTATTATTAATATTATTATTTTAGTTTGTTATTATTAGACAAAAGAAAATGAAATTATCTTAAAAATTCGAGATATTTTCAGGAAGAACATTATTATTACTATTATTCATTACTATCATTATTAATTATTTGTAAAAATATAATGAATAATAATAATTTATAATAATAATAATAATTTATTAAATAATTTATTGTTTGCCGAAATATTATTATTACAAATGAGAATTAAAATATTATTGAATTATCAGTTAGTATAAGCAATATTATTGAATTATCAGTTAGTATAAAAGCCTTATAAGCTTAACAAAAATGATAATACTATTTGTCATTATGACAAACAAACTTCACAAATAAGAATTAAGATATTACAACAATAAGCTATCAATCACAATCATCATATCGTTTAATTGATTAAGGAAATTTGTCAAGCAAATATGGGCAGTGGAAAAATGATCGATGAAGCGCTTAAAGATGGCTTCGAATGGTTATTAGAAGAAATTTACCGCAATTACGATGAATTACGAAAACGAACAGATGAAGCATTGGAAAAGTTTAAACGTCGACAAAATGAGGAACGAATAAGGCGAAAACATCATCTTGCTGCTACAATTAGCAGGTATATTTACTATACAATTATCAAGATATATTTACTACACAACTAGCAGATATACTTACTATACAATTAGCAGGTATATTTACTATACAATTAGCAGATATATTTACTATACAACTAGCAGATATATTTACTATACAATTAGCAGATATATTTACTATACAATTAGCAGGTATATTTACTATACAATTAGCAGATATATTTACTATACAATTAGCAGGTATATTTACTATACAATTATCAAGATATATTTACTATACAACTAGCAGATATATTTACTATACAATTAGCAGATATATTTACTATAAGAATTAGCAAATATATTTTTCACTTATCAAAATTATCTAAGAGATTTTATTCGAAATAAGTCTTAAGGGATTAATCCAAGGAAATATTATTTATCAATTTTGCTTTATTGAGGAATTTTATCCAAAAAAAAAGTTTCGGAAGAATTATCCGAAAGAAATAAATGCTTGATAAAATTTGAACTCTTTTTTTTCCAAATTTTAAAATAAGATGAAAGAATGAAATTTTTTTGCTGAGTTTTGCCAAACAGAAAGTTTGATTGTCAATATTACAACATATTTTCAGTTCAACTACTTCCGAGGAGCAAATGAGTGATGTAGGTACAACGATGCCAACAACGATATCAGCAGTAAAGTATGATAAGAAAGAACGAACAGATCGAAATGAAATTATCAATCATTCGACGTCTCAAAAATCCAATACCAATCAAATAAACAATTTGAAAGTTGAAAATGAAGGAAATGAACGGAAAAGGGTAATTTTTTAAAACAAAAACATTTACGATATGAAAATTAATTAAAAAATTTTTGTTTAATTGGAAATTTTTCTAATCTATTTCATGAAAAATTTAAAAATTAAAAAAATTCAGAATTAGAAATTAAATATTTGAATATATATTGATTTGCAAATTGTAGAGCTTTTCAAGTATAAATTAATTTCTAGCATCTACGAAATACAGTTGGTCCAACGAATGATTTATCACCTTCATCTGTTGACTCAGCAAAGATGAAATATCCGCATATATTTGAGGTGAAGACATCACTGCCATCACTGAAAGTTACGCAAAAAACAACGAGCACACAAACGAATAGACTATTCGATATGAATGGTAGCACTCTCACATCGATAATAAAATAATTAGCATATTTAAGTTTCATTTTTTTTTTGAATGATTAAATTACTCCAAATTTGCTTTTTCGGAATTTATTCGACGAGAATGGAATGTAATTTCGACAATCTTTTGTTTCAGATATTATCTAACAGATTTCAAGCTTTCAACATGAATCAACGTTCTATCAGCTTTCAGGAGACTTACAATCGACATCAAAACCTGGCCGTATTACTCAACTTGTGCCACTAACAGTTGTACCAAAGGAACGACCAAAACGTCCCATTCGATCACTTCATAGGAGGAGGACTGACTCAATCTAAATTCTTTGCATCTAAAAAACTCCGTGCCTTAATGTTCAAAATGAGCGATATTTTGCATGACAAAATATTTCAGTCAGAGATATTTATCATACCAAAATAGGCATAACTGTTGGATGCCAAACTCCCGAAATTTGCAGTATTAAAGCGAAGGAAAATTCCGACAGTTATAAATTGGAACTGAATTTAAAAGCGTCTTCACGCTTCTTTTGTCAAAGTTAACTGGTTCCGGTAAAACAAAAAAGGACAAATATCCGTTAAAAGTAGTGAACTTTTTAAAGGAGTCAATAACAACCAGCATTTCTGTCAACCAAATTTAGTAATATCATTCACATGTAGAAACTAATAAAACATACTCCTTTCCCCGTCTTCCAAATTCCGCCCGGTTCTCTATCCTTAAATTCGCAGTGTTCTTGAAAAACAAATTCTAGTCATATTTTACGTCCAAATCTCTCCAAACATTACTACCTCGTATACTAGCTTATTCTCTTGAAATGTAATTTCTGATTCTCTGATATTTGTGCCTTGCTTTATGAAATTTTACCAATGAAGCGAAAAGTAGAAGAATAAACAAATCTGTTGATTCAAAACAGCAACAACATAAGCATACAAATAAACTTTATGAGGAGTTATTTAATCGAAAAGACCAAAACCCATATCATCATCTGATTCCTCTTTTGGTTCTTCCTTCTTATCCTCTTTTTGCTCTCCAGCCGCTGCTGCAGGTGCCGCTGTTGGAGCTGCTGCAGGTGCTGTTACTGCTGCTGCTGCTGCACCACCGCCACTACCCACATTTGAAGAGATGCTCGTTATCAGTGACTGAAAAGGTTATAGTGCGCATGGTGACAAAGAAAACTAGGGACTTGCGAGAGCATAAACTGGGAATCCCGGGATTTAATAAAAACTGATATAATCTCACATTGCCCTCTTTCTCGCTCTTCTTTCATAAAAAGAAAGCGAAAACTTTTACAAAAATATGGCTTCTACACCTTTCCTGAAAATCAAAACGGTAGTAAGGGACAAAACAATTGAACTGTTATCGATACCTTCACATCAACGCCTTCCAGGGCCTTAGCAAACAATCCTGGCCAGAATGGTTCCACATCAACATGTGCAGCCTTCAAGATAGTTGAAATCTTATCACCAGTGATTGCAACTTCATCATCTTGCAAGATAAGTGCCGCATAAACGCATGCCAATTCCTGGTTTGCCATTTTTTTTCTTTACCAAGTGCAAGTCGCTGTTAAGCCTTAGCTCTATTTGAGAACAATGCACTTTGTCTGAAGTAACATTTATGAAAACATTAAATCTATTCAAATCGGCAGTGTATTGTATCTCATTGAAATTCCCAGAATCAAAAAATATCACAGTTACTCAACCCACCACAGGCAAAATCCATCCTTACAAGAACTATTTCGCAGATCCATCCTTACGAGAACCAATTTGAATATATAATGCAAAGTCCATCCCTACGAGAACCATTTCACAGGTCCTTACGAGAATCAAGTTAAGCATACAGCAAAATCCATCCTTACGAGAACCAATTCAAATATATAATGCAAAGTCCATCCCTACAAGAACCATTTCACAGGCCCATCCTTACGAGAATCAACTTAAGCATACAGCAAAATCCATCCTTGCGAGAGCCGATTTAAACATATAATTAAAAGCGATCAATAAAACTTTATGTCGAATGAACGACCAATTCACATCACCACTTCCAAATAATAACATTTAATATTATGTAAGCAATAACAAATACAGGGACATGAAAGTTCTCAAGCAACCAATACACAGGCACCACCGACGGCTTTGATTTTCTTTTCTGCGGAGTGTGAAAAATATTTCGCTTTGACTATGACAGGTTGTTTCGGTAGAAGACCTTTGCCAAGAACTTTGAAATAACCAGCTCGAACAACATCGATTACTGGTGCCTTATCTTTCTTTTCCGCATAAACTTCTCGCAACTTCTCCGATACCAATGACCACAGCTTATCAACGTTTACTGTCGGGCAGTACAGCCGGTTACGTCTCAGGTGATAATTTCGCATACCAACCTAAAAGAACTGTTTAATATATCTCAAATGTTATTCAAAGATGCAAAAAATATCACCTAAAATAGATGATTTATATTATTCATGAGTCCTATATTATTCATCCAGTTATTCATGAGTCTCCTGAGTAATCGTTTAAACTCTCATATACAATTTATTCGACAATTAATTGCATCCTAACTACTAAAAATTCCTAATAAAGTAGAACAAAGTTTGCTTATTTCTTAAATAAGATGGAAAATCACTGTTACTTAAAAATCAGGAAAATTAATATCCTTATACCTGCCGTCCTGTATGTGTGGGTTGTCTGTTACGTATAGAAGAAGTATGCATGCCATTATGAAAGAAAACTCCTAACCTATTGCACTATCCTCAATGAATTTTACAAAATACGGAAGGGAGAGAAAGGAAGTGTAAATGGAAGAGAAATAAACTATCTAATCTTCCTTTAACGCAGAACTTGGGGTATCGAAGTGCGGATCGGTAACGCAACATTTTAAGAGCACAACAAGAAATGGTAAAATACTTCATAAAAGCAAGCAATTATGATACCTTTCCAAAATAACCCGGATGATACTTGTCAAAGTTGATACGATGATGGTGTTGTCCACCGGCATTACCTCTACCACCTGGATGCTTGCGATGTTTTCCTATACGTCCGTGTCCATGCGATACATGACCTCTTAGTTTCCTAGTCTTCTTCTTTGATGTAGCCATCCAAATCCTATAAAAATAAAACAGATCATCTAAGAATCGACCCGGATTTTTTACGGAATTACTTAAAGCTTCACCGCCAAGCCTTATAGCTAGCTTTATTAATTATACGGCGGATAATCTCTAGATCGATTAGTTCCACATGCAGTGATACCAAAATATAACGATGGAAGAGTGGAAAATTAAACATGACCTAACGTACGGTTATTGACATCACTTTTGATTGCCTAATTTAATGGTATAATAGCACCGAACTGAGTTAAATCAATAAACAGATGACTAGCCTTTCAACCGCCACACGAATGCATAATTTAACGACCCAAAAACCAGGTTACTAAACTGTTTCAGACCAGGGAATATGAAAATGAAATCCCATGCCAGAAAGTGATTTGGATATTGTCACTTACATTACCATCTATTCATGAAGACGGATGAGTGAGTTTTCTTTATTTTAAACTTTACTCTTTCATATGTTCGAATTCCCTATTGATGCCACGAGGATTATTTTAATAATATGTTGAGATTTCCGATATTTACGGAAGACATCTTATGAATGATGTGTAGTCAAAACACAGCTGAGCTTAAGTGATGAAGGTCGTTGTTTGCATTAGCTTTTCAGGAAGTCTTATCATGTATGGCTTTATTGCTAATCCTTCTAACGTGAAGAAATTGAATCCTTTGCGAAGATTAATTTACTCTTCTCTTTTGATCTTTGCTTAAGCAAATGGTATGGTCGTTCATAATGAGCGCGGATCACTGAATCGAATGTTTCTTACTTTAATTGTCAAAAGAGATTCAATTTAGGGACTCTTTGTACGAAATCAATCGAAAATTAATTCCGTATTATTCAGTTATTCCTTGTGAGGAATTTCTGAATACCTGTCATGAATACCCATAACGAGTATTTTTTAGGATAGCTTTCCCCTTCATTCCTCTGGAGAAGTCTATTATTTGGCTTGTTTTGTTAATTATGTGGCCATTCAAGTTACTTTAATCTCTAAAACCATTCACAAAGTTTTCACGGCAACAGCGTGGCATTTCGACTCGGAGTTCAGGATAAAATATATCACTAGACGAAAATAGCACAGTTATAGGATCAAGAGTGGAAAGGACATACACACAACGAAGTCATTTCCATTTGTCGATAGTATTTTTCTGGTTTAAAGGTTAGTCTTTCTTTTCCGTTATTTTAGTTCATATGATGGTAAAGAAAGGAAGAAGTTAGACATTTCATTCCGTTGTGTGCTTTGCTGTGTTTCGAAAATTATCGCATATATTATTAATAGTTAATATCACGAATCGTAATTTTCCTCGTTAACCTACTTAAGTCTTTCCGAAGGAACCAGATGTCTGCATTATTCCATCAACCATGAATTTTTATTGTAGAAGAGAGAAAAAAGAAAAATGGCATCAGTGGGAGAGAAATTGATGAAGCGTTTGGTCCAACTTGGTGCCACAGTGGCGATTGGTGCGGGAGTGGTATCAAAGGCATTGTATAATGGTTTCTTTTGATGATCTTTGTTAGTGCTTTGTAAGTAAGCAACAAGGAAATAGAGCACTGGATTTCACTTTTGTAGGGATAGTAAATGTTCGGATACTTAACTGAGATAATCTTGTAGACAGGCAGAAGTAGATGGGTGTATGCTGTGTGTTCAATAACACCAATATTTAATATTTCAAGTGAGATTTTAGAGCATTAAGCAGATAAGTGTTGATAAATATGCTGGAAACTTATAAAGCCATTGCTTAATTATATGTTCATCAAATTTTAGAGGTTTATTTTGTTCAAATACTTTAGTTATTAACATGAAAAGTATCTTAATAAGTTTAATTAATATTTCAAGTGAGATTTTGGAACATTAAGCAGATAAATGTTGATCAGTGAGGTTATCTCATATTAAAGGTCTTGGAAATATGTAGGTAATGTTTTCCAAGAATGGTCAGATAGCGTTTTTTTGGATTTTCTAAAAAGCGATTTTTTTTAACAACAAGATTCTGTTGTTACAGTTGACGGCGGACAGCGAGCCGTAATCTTCGATCGCTTCACTGGGGTGAAACCTGACATTATTGGCGAAGGGACACATGTGATCATTCCCGGAATCCAAAAACCAATCATTTTTGATATTCGATCAACTCCAAGAACTGTCTCTACGATTACAGGAAGTAAAGGTAAGATGTTTTTTCTCTTTTTGTTTTCCTTATGATTTTAAGATAGACTGGAAGAATATTCATCATTATTACACATAATAAAAGTGAAATTTATGTGGTAGGCTGGAAATTCTGACAGTATATGATTTTAAGAAAACATAATTGAATGAAACAAGTTTTTTCCCACCAATTTTATTTTAGACTTGCAAAATGTGCAAATAACGTTGAGGATTTTGCATCGACCCGAACCAAGCAAGTTACCGAGCATATATTTGAACATTGGACGTGACTACGCAGAAAGAGTGCTACCTTCGATTACAAATGAAGTTTTGAAAGCTGTCGTTGTAAGTAATCAAATTCTTGAAATATTCAACGTCGTCTTTCTTTTGTTAATTCAGAGTACAGCTCATGCTTCAATGAGTAATTCCATGCACTCCATGCAGACTGGTTACTTTCATGTGCGAGTTTTCTAAAAGAGGTTCTCTTCTCACAAACTTTTTAAATCATTCGCAGTTGGTTTATTTTTAAATTACTATATTAAGATTATTGATCGGAATATATTCTTGCATATTATTTTATGATCTGAGATTACATAATTTTTCTTCAACATCTTTCATGGAAGTTTACTTCCAAAATTGTGTGGCTGCTAGAACATTTTTATTTAATTTCAGGCTCAGTTCGACGCACACGAAATGATCACACAGCGAGAAAGTGTCAGTCATAGAGTTTCTCTTGAATTATCAGAGAGAGCGAAGCAGTTTGGCATTTTATTAGATGACATTGCTATTGTAAGTTTGATAAGGTCTATTCTATTATTATGAGATTCATGTTAAACATTTAGTTGTGATAAAGGAAACGCAGTGACAATCGGTAAGAATGCCAAGTTCACTCCTTCATTTTGGGTACAGAAATAATGGCACAAAGATATCGGCATTCTCTCATTACCAACTTTCGTAATGTGTTAAATGACTCTTGCCAAAAGAATTGGTATTTGTATAGTTTCATATGTTAGTTTTGAGATAGAGATCTTTGGTAGGAATTCAGTGTCGGTGTATATTCAGTTTCTTAGATTTTAAAATTTGTGAAAACTTTCAGACGCATCTCTCTTTCGGGCGGGAATTTACAGATGCTGTCGAGATGAAACAGGTGGCTCAGCAAGACGCTGAAAAAGCTCGTTATCTTGTCGAAACAGCAGAACAGATGAAAATTGCAGCTATAACGACTGCAGAAGGTGATGCACAGGCAGCGAAGCTTCTAGCTCAGGTAGAAAATCTATATATATATATGTAATGATAAACGGAATTTACTTAATTCATTGCGAGATATTCAGTTCGATGACTTTGATTTTTATGAGATTCCTAGCTAGCAACAACTTTGGTTGATGCAGCATTCCCGTAATGTAGAACACAAAGCCGTTTAATGTTTATTGGTCCGTGTAACTGCTTCTGAAGAGTGTCATTTGTTCTTATGTTTTGAAAAAAATACGGCAATTTAGTGAATTGTGGGATTATTGCAGGCTTTCAAAGAAGCTGGTGATGGTTTAATTGAATTACGGAAAATTGAAGCTGCGGAAGAAATAGCTGAAAGGATGGCAAAGTCTCGAAATGTTGTGTATTTGCCGAGTAACCAAAATGTACTCCTCAATATGCCAGCAGTATAGTGAAGCCAAATTATCTTTGAGTGATTTTGTTAAATTTGTCAATGAGTAATATGCCAAGCAAATTATTCAACTTTTTATTGCTCTAATTTTAGTACTACGGTTCTTATGTTTGATTGTATTTTGTTACTATTGTTATGAATTTGCTATGTTGCTATTTTTCTTAGTTTCATAAAATGTTTGCATTTTCCCTTGCATTTTTAAAATGTTTAGGACGGTTAATTGACTGTTATATATTTTGGATTTTGAAGCTTTTTTATGGAATTGATGATTTTAGATCCAACGAATGTAGGCACCTCAATTGCTTTTGGAAATAAGACTGCAGGAAATAAGATCAATTTACAATAAATTAGATTAAAATATCTAAGAAGTTTCCTGTTATTAGCTTTCTGTCAAAAAAAGCTTCTTATCAAATTGTAATGCTATAACAACTTGACAGGAAGCAGTCAGGCTTTTCTTTCCACTAAGTCTCTAGTTTTCGGATGTACAATGGAAAGTTTTTTGGATTAATATATGTGGAAGTGATAAGTGAAGAATCAGAACATATTCTTCGAAAATTTTGTTTAAAATTTAGACTGGGTGCTAGTTGGAAAGGAGTAAGAAATTCAGAAGTGTGTGAATGTGATTGTACTACGAATGTTATTGTTCATGCGGTTTCAGGAAGGATTATTTTGGACCGTAAAAGGAAAATGCCCTTATCTTGCCGATTTTATGCAAATCAGTTTCCTGATGTGGAGGATACAGTTATGGTAAATATACGGCAGATTGCTGAGATGGGTGCTTACGTCTCGTTGCTAGAATATAATAATATAGGTATATTCTTAAATATATTGATTTCTTTATAAGATTTAAATATATACTGAAAAAATTTAACGCAGTAGTGATGTCATGAGTCTTTCAAAACCTTCTGCACTGCTGTAAATAACTATTGGAGCATTATGGTAAGAGCATCGAAGACTGCGGTAGTAATTTCTGAATTATGTTCTATACCCATTTATTTAGGTGTTTTAATTAATTAACATCAGTGTACTGTAGAAGGTATGATATTGCTGTCGGAGCTTTCACGACGACGTATTCGTTCAGTGAATAAGTTAATTCGAGTTGGTCGAAATGAGTGTGTTGTTGTTATACGTGTTGATAAGGAGAAAGGTTATATTGATTTGTCGAAGAGACGCGTTTATTCAAAAGACTCGATACAATGTGAAGAACGGTTCGCTAAAGCCAAAGCCGTCAATAGGTAATTGATTACTTAGTAAAATTATTCTTTAATGCTGCTTTTACTGAAAAATTAGGTACTTACTATAAATGAACTGTCTCATATAAATAACCTTAGAAAGTTGATTTGTCATCCTGATAGATGGAACTGAACGACAGAGGTATTTTCATTATTAGTCGCTAAAATTCCTCGAGCTATTATTATCGATAATATGAAGATGCGAGCACGCGTTAATATGTGATGCTTTATCCATGTTTTTTCTGATTTGGTGGCTTTGAACATTAATAATTTAAAACAGTATTTTTCCTCTGCGATCTTGTCTATTTTTTCTCCTACGATCTTGACATTACTTGTCAACTTGTTACAGATGTTAAAAAAATTAAATGAAAAGATACGAAAGAAATTGCATCAGTTATTTTACTTCTGGAGCCTGATTTTCGGTTACAAGGTTAAACAGTATCCGTTAATTTTACAATTTTAGTATCCTTCGACATGTGGCCGACCAGTTAGGTTATGATTCCGAAGACCAGCTGGAAGAGCTGTATGATAAAACAGCATGGTATTTCGACAGAAAACTGAAGAGGAAAGGAGCCGCGTTTGATATTTTTAAGAAAGCTATCAGTGATCCAACTGCTTTAGATGAATGCGACATAACGCCGGATATTCGTGAAAAACTTTTAATAGATATTAAGTTTGTTTAAGCCTTTTATGTCTCATACATACACATGCAGATTTTTTTCTTGTTCGACAAAAATTAGAAAAGTGAGACTAAAATGAAACAGAAAGTAAACAAAAGAAAACCTAATGGTCAGGGAATCATGCTGTTTAGTTCGAGTCATGAGCTTCTATTTACAGAGTTATATATACGGTTTGCTTTCGAACTATAATCAGAACTAAGAATTTTATTGACGTTTCAGAAAAAGACTAACTCCACAAGCCGTGAAGATTCGAGCTGACATTGAAGTTTCATGTTTCGCATATGATGGGATAGATGCTGTAAAAGATGCCCTGATCGAAGGACAGAAATGCTCAACTCCGGAAATGCCAATCAAGGTGACCACCAGTAGTTAATCCCAAAAAGGAAATATATCATAATTTTTCACCTACTACCTTAACTAGAAAAGATTAGGATTACAGTAACACTCAAATTTGTAATTAAGAGGTTTTTATATTGAAAAGACGATCTTTTCCATTGTACTTGTTAAGTGTTGTTTTATTTTCAGATCAATCTTATAGCAGCACCACTTTTTGTTGTTACAACACAAACATTAGAAAGAAGTGAAGGTTTGGAAGCAATAAATAGAGCTCTTAGTTTGATCAAAAAAACTATCGAATCTTATCAAGGGAGCTTTAAGATCGTCATGGCTGTAAGTTGATTTTAAACTCTAAAGATTTATTTGATTTCTGTGGGAGGTCACTACTTCGAAATAAGACTATTGCTCGGAGATATTTTAATAGCTTTGTATATCGATAGCTGTAATTAATTCAGAATGAATTATAAATTTTAGGTTAATATGTTGGAGTCCATTAACTGGTCATTTAATAGAACTGCAAAATATTGCAAACCAAGTGAAACGACTGTTCCAACATTTGGAAACTTGACATCATTGTATAAAACTGCATTCATCTCTTATAATGAATCTACGATAATGCACGTTATATTAAATTTGCAAAATTTCAGCCGAAAGTGGTGACAGATTTGGATGAAGAAGAAATTAGGAAGCGAATGGAAGCGATGGAAACTCTTGTTGGAGAACTGAGTGGCGAGGAGGGTAGCGATGATGATGGTTTAGTGGCACCGAAGGGATTAGATCAGCAAGCAGATGCTGAGGAAGCAACTCGGAGGGACAAAAGCGACAATGATTCTGATGAACTTGATGAATGATTAAAAGTTTCTCTGTAGCATCACTTAACAAAGATTATGTAATTTCATAGATGATAAGGAAAGAGATTTCTGAGACTTCGTTCTTTTAATAAATAGCAGTAGGAGATTTTGAATAGATGCAGTACAGTGTAAAAATTTTGAATTTCTTTTGAAACTTTCCTGCTATTCTTATTTGTTTTAGCTTTTCATATATTAATGAAGGTTTGTTCTCTTAGTTTATTTCAGCAATTAAATTAAATGAGCAAATAGCATTTCTGTTATGATAATGCATAAAAAGCATCACTTTTGTTGACATTTATCCCTTTCTTTATTGTTTAGTTTGTTCGTTGTTCCAAATTTCTCTCATAATTAAATCGTTGTTTTTATAAACTTTGCATGGGATAAATGGTTTATATGTTTCTAATATATGCATATGAAGATTTGTTTAGAACTATATGTGTAAAAAGGATGTGATAAGATTGATTGAAGATAGCTTGATCTTTGAACTGAGAAGAAAAGCTTACATATATTTGTTGTTGAAGATCGAAAAATCTATCGTATGCTTTTTCTCAGTTTGAAAAAATCACGCAATATTTATGGTTTACATCCATTTTTTCTTTACTCTACAAATGGTATTATTAATTGAGCTACGTGTAAACTTAAACTAAATATTAAAAAGCTATTTTAAAATTTAAAATTTACCTTGTATTTATTCTATTTTCCGGAAATTGCGAATTAAGATTATTGGATAATCTTTGTGTTATTCAAAATATCAATTGATAGATGAAAAGTGAATTAGAGAGATATTCCTAAAAGATATTTTAGATTTGTTGTTAAAATTCTCCATGATAAATCATGAACAAGATAATGGTGACATATATTGATAACATTGAAGATAATGATGTTTTAATGATAGTATATTGTAATGAAAATGAAAGTATCATGAATAAAATGGTGAATGAAGTAGAAAGAATATGATAGGCAGAACACGAGAAATTGTTCCGTTTAATACAATTGATTTACTACAAAATTTTACAATATGATAAAGATGGAATGGAAGCTTTTGTTCGAAACAAGTTTTTCTTCCCAATGAATATTTTAATTTCAGAACAAGTTTTTCTTTTCTAAATGATTATTGAAATTTCGTATGTCAACAATATTTGTGGCGGTATACTTTTGTTTTTCTGCAATTAACTTCTTCGCAACAATTATTATATTGGATGAATGAATGAATGAAAAAAATATATATATATATATATGAGAAATTGTATGAGATGAATTATCATCCCTTATCACTTTAATAAATTATCAGTAGAAAAATTAGGAAGCGAAAAGTTTTCTCTAAATTTGTGCCAAAAAAAAAAAAGGAAAGTCTCTTTTTTTCTTCTGGGTGGCAGCAAGAAGAATTAATCATTTAAATTTTAATTTTTCCTTTTTTTCTTTTTCTTCACTTTTTTTTTTAAAGTTAGACGATATGTTTTTTCCCAAAACATACATATTTTTTTATCAGAAAAGAAAAATTGTGTAATTTCAATAAGTTAAAAGTATTAATTAAATTAAGGAAATTAAAATTGAAGAATATTAATTAAATTAAGTAAGCTGAAGTTGTTAAAATTGAATTGTGTAATTTCAATAAGTTAAAAGTATTAATTAAATTAAGTAAACTAAAATTGAAGAATATTAATTAAATTAAGTAAACTAAAATTGTTAAAATTGAATTTTGTAATTTCAAAAAGTTAAAAGTATTAATTAAATTAAGGAAACTAAAATTGAAGAATATTAATTAAATTAAGTAAACTAAAATTGTTAAAATTGAATTTTGTAATTTCAAAAAGTTAAAAGTATTAATTAAATTAGGTAAACTAAAATTGAAAAGTATTAATTTAATTAAGTAAATTAAAGGAGAAAAAAAAGTTTTAATCT